GCTATTTTTTGGTTGCAGCCATCATTGTTGTTTGGCAGGTCCGGGCTGGGGATTCAAACCTGCCACCTTAGGTGTACGTGGCCGGCGCCTTAGCTGGTTGAGCTATAGGCGCCGAGCCCGAGATTCTGCATTTCTAACCTACTTCTAGGTGAACTCCATGCTGTATTCTAGACCACACGCTGAGCTGCAATAATCTGATTTTAGAGATGGACTTAGGATAAGCAAAGCTTTAAGTATGAGTGAAAATAAGAATTTTAAGGACAGTCCAGACCCAGTAAACTATTTTCTGGCCACTAAATGAGGCATCTGCAGCAGTAGGATGAAGCAAGAAGTAGTCCGTAAAACACTCAAATTCATTTGCTTTTAAAAAAAAAAAAAAAAAAAAGGGAAAGAACAGCCCTTCATGGGCAAACGCTTCTACCACGAACATTTATTTTTGTTAAAGCAGATTATAAATTTTCATCAGTACAAATATATATAACTTACATTTGATTGTAAGGCCAATGTTCAAAAGTAAAAATAAGATGGGATCTCACGTCATCACCCAAGGTCAAGGGGCTGCAATGGGCAATGTGATGTTCTGCTCCCCAAAAGGGGTGGTGGTGGTGCAACATACACACAAAGCTAATAAAACACAAATACCCAAACCCACAAAACTTGTGGGAACAAAATTTAAAGGCCAAAACAAGATCCACATTATGAACCAACACAGTAACCTGCATTCCATTCTGTGGTATGATGTCATTGTTACCTTAGTGTTAAAACAAAGTAAAGGATTAACATAAGGAAACTGCAGCAATATATAATATAAAAGATAATACATATTCTCTATAGAGCATATTTAGATGGAGTCTATTAAAATGACATTAGAATTTCACCATAGGTTTAAAACCAGGACAATACTGCTCTTCAGTATTTAAAACTACAACCTAGTGACTGTATTGGTCATAAACGTGATTGCTGTTGCAATATGCTACTTACTTACAATGAATGACAGTAAACAAGTAGGGATCCCATCTGCCAACTTCCACCCTTTCTTCTCTTTATTTCAATAGGCATCAATGATAAATCAATCTTATGTACAATTTCTTACAACTAACCCTTTTACCTTTGGCAAGATTACTTACAACTCATACAACTTTCTTATATTGAGAACTATTTAAAATATTCTAAATGCATAAAAATAAAGATTTTGGCTTTTTTGATATATATTTATAATATTTAGTCTGTTGCTTAAAATGGAAGCTCAACTTCACCCCCAAATACAGCTCACTGGGCAGTTGCTGGTATGCCCTCCCGGGAATCCTGGCAGCACAGCCGCCCCCTCTCTCCCCTTGCCATCTGTTCTTGATCTCTAAGGCCAGTACTGAGAGGAGGCAGGTGAATGGCCTGAAAAACAAAGGGAGATTGTTTTGCTTGCCATTGTGTTTTATATTCCAGTAAATGTGCTTTGAATACAAATTCCTGTTCAGATATTTCTGCCTCTCTGTTACCAGAGATTTATAAGGGGTTGAGGGAAGAGAGGGTATAGAGGGCAACATTTCCCTTGATTACTTTAGCCTAACTGCAAGGCAGATTTTCTCTATGAATGGCTTTCCCCATATCTTTCAAAATCACCCCTTACTGAACTCTGTGCCTGGACTTGTTCTTTGGGACCTTTGGGATTAGTGAAAAGAGTACTGATCAGAAAGACAAAGTCCTCTTTGCTCCTTTGACCTCTGCCCCCAAGTATGGACAACATACATAAACCATAGGGGTTGCCTAAAGTTCAATTTCAAATGTTTTCTGTAAGTCACTGGAGAAAGGATTGGTAGGGGAGGGATTAGTGCGCTGCTTGGACTTGTTTTCTAACGCAGCCCACTGAGCTTCAAAAGGATCCACGGAGCAGGTACCTGCAGGGACGTCTCTGTGCTTGTCTCCTGAGGCCAACCTGCCATCGTCTACACCATTGAAAGCTGCAGAACCGTTGAGGTGCTGAGCAGAAGGCTTAAAGAAGGGACTGGTGGTAGCACTGCTTGTCTCATACTGCGGGAATGTTTGCTGCTTGACCAGGCTGGGTGACTGATGGGGGTGGGCAGCTTGAGGATGGCCTGCAGTGCCAAATACATTGGCTACCATCTGAGAGGGAGTGATGCCCACCACAGGCACATTAGGGGCTGGATAGGGCATCCCATTGGCCACAGGATAGGACTGGGCAGGGACAAAGGCTGGCTGCAGGGGTGGGACCACACCCACAGGCACAGGCTGAGAGGTGAGGAATGCATTCCCTTGGAAAGATGGTGCTGGCTGGGAGATGGCAGTGGATGGAGGCGGCTGGAGAATGGGCTGCAAAGGAGCAGCAGAGGCCTGGGGCTGCTGTGCCCGGATGTTCTTAGACACCTCTTCTAACCATCGGTCGGCCTCTGACGGTGTACGCCTGTGGCCCGCCTGGAAGAGACCTGCAGAGGCAGCACCAGAAGATTGACTCCACTCAGTCCCTGGAAACAAGATAAAGACAGACAAAAGAATCAGTTAAGGGGCTTCTTTCCTCACCTTTTAATCTTGGTTATTTGAGTGGTCCTAATATGTGGAACAAATCCCCTTACTGGGACATTTTGTGGTTTTGGGAGGAAAGTTTCTATTAGCAACTGAGAAGATTTTATGGTAGAATAAAGAGAACCTATCATACATCAGAAGCAACAGCCACATTGGGACACTTTCTAGATATGGCCCTAATGCACTGGGAACCAAAGCAGCTGGCTAGTGTCAGAAACCTTCCCTATTGTAGTAGCTCATCCACAATACATCAGCCAGCTTGCACATGCTCTAAAGGACCCAAGGTGATTCATCTTCTGCTCCATCAGGGCTAAAAGAAAATAACCAGTGACCTGGCCATACTTTACTGGCAGCTCCTGCCTGGCTTCTAGATACATGCTATCTTTCTGGTGAACCTCCTCTATTACCATTTTAAAACTTTTTGGGGCTCGGC